TAGATTAAAAATTAATTGAAACTTGCAAAAATGCTAATATCAAGGTATCAGTTGCCCTTGATTAACGAAAAATTATTTTGTAGTGTGCTAACATTTTTGTAATTGACAGTATTTTACATCATATTCATTAATAAATATTTTTGAAATTCTGGATCTTTAGTTTCTTATGTAAACTAAACACATGACTATCTGGACCATCCACAGCTCTTTGAAGTAGGCTGTGGCTTGATAGATGTTGGAAATGTGGCCTCTGATAGCTCCAAAACTCCCTTCTGGTTATTCTTAGTCTATACTGTTGAAATCAGCCGAAACTATCATTTTATATATTTCAATACAAATGACCTAAATGCATAATATTCTTTTTTATCAAACAGCAAACTACTGGAAATTTATTTCTGCTGTTAAAGAAAAGTTTGAGACATAAATTTTATTGTACATGTACTATTGTTGGAGAAAGGAGGTAGAAAAGGTCGAATACACTCTAGAAAATGATTACACCTTCACTGAAATACAAAGACCAGCTCCTTTATTGGTCAGTAAGAAAACCATGTTCGCAACTCCCTGTTGTCATAAAGGGCAAAAATATAATAATCCTAATACATACATATACGTGTGTGTGTGTGTACGTATTCTTTCTGGTCTTCAGGTTTCCTACAGTATTATACAACAGCAATTATGATATTTTTAACTCAATCTGCATCCTAAAGCATGTATCAATTGTCAGTCAGCAAAAGTGTTTGTTTAGTACAATTTGAAGCAGCCACTAAAAGAATAGAATGAGGAACATTTTCATTTTGTCTTTCCTGTTTCTAGAATTTGTCATGGATGCTAGTGTTTTCCTTTTAATCATTCTTTCTTAAATTTTGCTTTTGTTTAGAATCAGGCATTTGAGAGTTTGGGTTTTGGTTTGTATATGTGTTGGTTTTTCTTCCTCCAGTGACACACAATGTATTTCTAAAGGATTTTCAAGGAAACGTGAACAGTCATGTGGTAATAAGTCCTGTTGCTCGGACCTCCTGAATAATCCCCATCTCCACCTCTGTCTCCTTTCCCGGGGCTGGTCTGGGCTTGTCCTCACCTCTTCTCCAGTGATGGAAACAGCCTCCCAAAGCCAGGGCCCCTGACCTTCCTTCCATCCTCCACACTACTGCCAATGGCATCTTCCTAAAGCAAAAATCTCACTATGCCAGTCTCCTGTTTAAAATCTTTAATTGGCTTTAATTAGCTTCTCACTGACTTCATGATGAAATCCAGATTCCTTAGAATGCTCCAGAAGCCCCTTCCTGACAGGGCCCAGACCTGCCTCTCCAAATGACACCACTTGTTCCTCATTTATTCTCTAAATGCATAATATTCATAATCACTGAGGCTTTCTAGAATATCAGGAATCTAACTGTTTGAATAAGATATAATTAAAATATGTTCATATTTTTCAGTCAAACGATTGTCAACAATATGGTGTTTATATTTTTAATTTTGTCATGTTTTTAACATGGCATCTAAAATCATAAGTATATCAACCTCATTTTAAACAACTTTACACTAATCTTTGTTATACTTTAACCTACTTTTAATAACTTAGTGTGTTAATATTTGTTTCATTCTGCTAACAGTTCTGTCAGATGAGGTCATAACTGATAATCCAAATTTTAATTTCAAGCAAGTTTGATTACCTGAATTGCAAATATATATGTAGTAATTTTCTGACTTTTTCTAGGCTCTGCGTCTTGTTAAACCCTCCTTATGCTCTCCCATTCTCATCTTTTTTATCTGTCTTCCTTCCTTTTTCTTAAAGATTTAAATATTGCCTTAGCATACTTATGTACTTTGAGGGGGTACTCACCAAAGTGATTGATCCACATTATTCAAATGGTTTCTTAACAAAGACTAATAATAGATTCTTTTCTAATCTGAAATTTGAAGTTATGCTTCTCTGTCTTTACCAGGACATTAAATTTTACTTTTGGTACTTGTCTTGTTAAAAGACAGCTCCTAGATCATTTTCCATATGTAGTTGGAAAATATGTCACTAGGCAGCTACTCAAGCATTAGTTCTGACAGTGCATTGCGTCATTTATTGAAGTCCTATAATTATGCCAAATTATTAAACCAAACCCCAAATTTTGCAAAGCTGTTGTGATGACCGTCTTCTTATAGGAGCGTTAAGTAATAGATTCTTTGCAGCGTTTAATGGCACTTGGACACTCACACATGTACATGCACAGAGTTTCAAGTCGAAAGAAATCACCGACATAATGGTTTGGAGGAATTGTGTTTACAGTATTAAATTAAAGTTTTTTGTCATCCTGGCTAGTCTAAGAATTCTGCTGCTTCTTTGGAAGGTCATCTTCTGCCTCTGCACTCTGCCACTTGATACACTAGCCACTTGTGGCTACTGAGCACTTGAAATGTGGTTAGTCCAAATTGAGACTAGGTATGAAAAAAGACTGTAAAATCACTCACTAGTAATATTTATGTTTATTACATGTTGAAATGATATTTTTCTTTATTTTGTTTAATAACATATATCTTTTAAATTAATTTAACCTCTTCTTTTCTGAGCGTAGCTACTAGAAAATTTTAAACTACATATATTTCTTGGATTTGTAGCTCACTTGATATTTCATTTGAACAATACTGATCTAGGTAATTGGCATGGATCTAATTACATCATCCAAAAAATAAGATATCACAATAAGGTAATTTTATTTCTGGAATATATTTATAGAGGCAGATGGTGACCCTTTTTTCCTTAGAAAACATGTTGAACAGTAACATTACATTGAATGTTTTACACAAATTTACTACAACCTCTTTTGATATCTTCATGTATAGACAGCCTCATCTATAGATGAAAATTATCACGAATAATTTCAAGTGGTAGCACTTCAAGTATACACATCATTTATCAGTGATTCGTTTATACTTAAAAATTAATTAACACGTTTCAACAGTTTGTTTGCAACCAGGATTTTCCATAGAATAGTTAAACTCATTATTTTTCCACTATTGCGGCTAAACTGCACCTTCGGGGTTATGATTCTTTATAAAAGTTAAGGGGGATGTTAAAGTTGATCCTATGAAAATTTGATCATTCTGTCAGTTTGATTTCCCATCTTCTGTTGAATTTCACACCATCTATTTGTAACACCTTCTCCTCCTCTTCAAGGCTCTCTTCAGCGACTTTAGTCAACAAGTCATGGACTTCCTCTCTGCTCTCAACTGCTATCATCCTTGAGTGATTTTTAATATCTTGACAAGAATCCTTCTGTCAACACACTCTTATTTTCCCCAGTGTTTTTTAGTGTTAGATTCTCTCAGCTCCCACAAGCACTGTCATCCCTCAGAACAGACACATTTTCAAGATCTTGAAGTTTGAGATTGCCTGCTTTTTTTCTGATTCTATGGTGCCTGTACTTTCACTGAATTTTTTATTTCTTCTGTGACTTCCAGTCTCTGATCCCACTATTTTTCCTGGTATTTTTCTTCTGTCGTGGTTATTCCTATCTTGCTTCCCCATTTTTCTGGCCCAAGACAGCCCTTTCAGCATTGATTTGTCACCCCTTCTTTTTTGTGTACTTCACTCATACTGTACTGTCTCTACTTAGCCTCCTGGATTAGTAATTGAGTCCATGAAAGCCAAATGGCTGGTCTTTAGTTTTTAAGCAATTTTACATGCTTAAAATTTCCTAAAATAGCCAGAACTTTTCTCTCTTCAAGTCACTGTTCGTTTGTCAACTTCCACACTCTTACGGAACAACATGCCTCCTTTTTTACTTAGAAGAATGAGTCAAGCTCACATAAATTTTCTCAACTTACCACCTCTGTACTTCATTCTTTCTAAGCTTCTAGAAAAGCATAAGTACCTAAAAATCCCAGGTATTTTGATTGGTATTGAGGTCATCAGGATTAGTGCTCCTAGGAGTTCACAGTCCACTGTGGGAAATAGTCAAGAAACAAGTAATTAGAAAATGAGAGATATTTTTATAGCCAAGACAGAAACTGAATGTTGTTGAAACATGGAGGTGGGAATATTTGAATCCCTGTGAATCTTCATGAGATGATATGATAAGTTAAGAGAATGGTAAAAATTCTTCTATGACTATATTACGTTGTTCAGGATGGGTTGGCACGATTTTTTTCTTTGATACTTTTTTACTTTGATGATAATGGATTAATTCTTCATAACACACGTTCCTATTTTTGAAAGACATGTCATGGGGGCATTGCAATTCATTTGCAATTTAAATCAGTTTTAATCAATTGCATACAATTGACAATTGCAATTGTCATTCTCTCAATGAGCCACCAATAGTGTCAACCCAGTTCTATTTTTCTATTTCTTTCGTTCTATTTTCTGGCGTGGTGCTCCCTGACAAAAATTCTTCATCTCTGGTAATCTTGGATTCCTTTTGATAAGAACCTTTTAAATCTGGAAGGCCACAATGATATTTACTTTTTAATCACCTGTCTTTCCTATATATGTCCTTGGAATAGGGGAAATACATGCTTGAAATCAGAGTCATCTTTACCAAAGGATCTCAAGAGAAAGAACAAGTGCATCATATCTATGATCAGATTTCTTGCCCTAGCTGGTACTTGTGAGTGTATTTTTGTGTATAGCCTTAAGCAGAATATAGCAATCAAACTTTGAGCTAAAATTAGCAGAGTTAATGTCAAGAAGGAAAAGGTTTTTATCTTTGATCATTAGATGAATGTGACAGATATATTACAAAGATCAGCTGAATTGCTCTTCTCAGAACTGAGAAGCTGTAGCTATGAATTCTACTTGTGAATGTCGTGATGTGCATTTGGTTACATTTGGGTCAAAGCAAATAATGCCTCTCACTATTTTACAATATGATATACTGCTAATATGACTGTTTTCTCCTGAAAGAATTAATGTGGTTAGATTCTATAGTGTGTAAAAGAATATAGATGAAATTACTGAGATCGACTTTCAAGGAATAATTTGAATTTACTCTCCCTCTTATTTTCAGGTTCAAAACCTTGTTTGTGGCTGGAGAACGATGTGATGTGGAGACCCTGGAATGGTCTAAGCAGATCTTCAGAGTACCCGTCTTAGACCATTGGTGGCAAACTGGTGAGCATTTTCCAAACGTGCGCATAAGTATTGCAGAAATGCTCAAAACCGCTACAAGGATTGGAGGAAATTCTGAACTATGACCATCAGGCACAAGCTCAGCATTCAGATGGTTCTGTGTTCAGTAGAAATAAGCAATTCTTTGATTGCACTCTGGCTAATAACATCTTTGTAAATGACCTCGATGCCACTGTTCTCTTGGTCCCAGGAATAAAGCATCGAAGACCCGTCACTTCTCCCCTTCTTTGTTTCCTATATCCAGTAAGTCGCTAAATCTCGGGTTTTTCTTTGAAGTTTCTGTTGAATTCATCCCACCTTTTTTTTTTCTTAAAGATTTTTATTTTTTTCCTTTTTTTCCCCAAATCCCCCCCGGTACATAGTTGTATATTCTTCGTTGTGGGTCCTTCTAGTTGTGGCATGTGGGACGCTGCCTCAGCGTGGTTTGATAAGCAGTGCCATGTCCGTGCCCAGGATTCGAACCAACGAAACACTGGGCCGCCTGCAGCGGAGCGTGGGAACTTAACCACTCGGCCACGGGGCCAGCCCCGAATTCATCCCACCTTTAATACTCCATTGCCTTTGAGCTGTGGCAGCCGCACTCTCACCTTCCCTGATTTAAATTGTCCTCGTCACTCATCTCTGTTCTTTCCACTTTCCTGTATACCCTGCATGCTTCTCTCAGAGTACTTTCTTTTTAAAGCACTGTTTCTCTCATAGAATTTCCTGTGGTTCTCTGGCTCCCTTCTTCTGTTCATCAAATTGAATCTCTTCTATCTAGCATTCAAGATAGAGAAATGTATTTTTCTCCACAGCACTTATCATTATATATGTGATTTCTTTATTTACTTATTTTGTTTATTCTCTCTTTTCTTCCCACTAAGTGATCCTTGGGAAATAAATTGTCATATTAAGTGGCTAGAATGTAAACTTTCATACAAATAGAAAATAATTCTGCTGCTTCTTTTCAGGGATGATTGTGTACATATGTGAGCATGAGTAGATTATCTGGATCTGTTTTCCTACTCGTTGAATGTAGGGGTTTTGTTGGGTTTTCCATTTGACCCACTGAAAGTAGCTATGAGCTATGAGCGCCTTCGTATGTACACATTTCAGTTAAGTTCTGCTTAGTTCGATCATTTACATCAATCCTTTTGTTCTCGGAATTCCTATCTTCTGAGTAACTGAGACAGAGTAGCAAATTTGGATTAAAAAATTAATAAAGTTTGTTTGAAAAAATTAGGTCTGATTTGAAAAATGATTGGAATCTGGAAGATCAAGTGAGTGACTAACATTGAAGTTTGTTTTTCTGATATTTTAGAACTCTTCAATGACGATAAATTAGACTTTTTGTATTATCTTTTCAGATATTGCTGTTTGGGAAAAGTTTTCTATTTCCTTTGTAATGTGAAATATGAAATGAATGATTAGAAGAGACTACACATTCCTTAAATAAGATGAAAATTAGAAAGATAATCTTTATTCTCTCCAGTTTGATTTGCTAAGGGAGAAATTTCTTATCTAAATTTAGGTTTGTAACTACTCAGGAAAAAAATGGATAAGACTGAATTTGGAGAAAGAGCAGTGCTATGTGTGAAATACATAAAACAAATAAAAAATTATTGCCTCTGTAAGGAAGAGTATTTACAGCATCGATGCACCCTTTTCACCAGGAAAGTTCTAACAGTTATTTTTCTGGGTAGGAAGAGGAAAATATCTCATCACCTTTGAAATGCTTTTCCTTTCCTTGTCAAAATGGAGGGGTTGTTTCTAACACAGTGACTTTATACAAATGCTGCATAAGGGCTGTGTTTTTCCCTGTTAAAGGTGAATATACCAAAGCTTGTTGAAGGAAACCCACGAATTAATACATAAAATTATCACTCTTACTTTTTCTCATTGGTATCTTTGTACCTGTGCAGATGAATGTGGTTAGTGCATCTGGGCTTACAACAGAGCTCACTGGAGCCTGACAAACAAGCATGGGAGGTCCCTGGTGGGGACTGAGTTTCAAGTGAATTTGCAATTTTTCTTTAATGTATTGTTCAGAGTGAATTAATAGCCACATTGTGTCAATGTGCTGTCACTTTAATCAGGTTTGAATGGCTGCTCATTACTGTGGAAAACATAGTGGATTTCTACTAATAATGACTGATTCTTCCCACCACCCCCATTCAGTTTCACAGTGTTTGATATTGTCTCCAATTAAAGTACACAAATACATACATACAGATAAGCAGGGCGGGAGCCAGCTAGTCAGATGGTTTTGTACTCTATAAAAGAAATTCATCCTAGGTGATGCAGATGTCAGCTACTAACAAAATCTAGTTCGAGTCTTTATTCATTTGCATAGAAGAAATCAATTCATTATTTTCAAAGTTATATATTGTGGTAAGTAATTGGAAAGTGATAACTGAAATTTTACATTTGCAGCCATTCATCTTTCTTAAGGTGATGTCAAATTTATCTTAAGGTGATAGTAAATTAATGTTAAATCACCAGGGGAAAAAGGCAAGTATTTTGTGGATTATTGTTAACTTCTAGGAAAAAAAATCGATATTTCTAGCACATTCGTGAGTTTCCTAATGTTTTACATATCAAAGAGGTGGTGATGCACTTCCCCAAGAGATATGCCAGTAAAAATCTGGTAACATTTGAGGGAATGTTAAGCTTTGGCCAAAGGAATACTTTTCTTTATTAAAATTTCATGTTTTCTACAAGGTCTCTCTTTCTTGTTACTGACTTAGAAATTGATTTTTTTCTATACAAGCACACACTTTTATGAGCCTTCCATACAATGTATAATTTATGAATTTGCTCTCTGATTACATTAATATATGTGTACAAATGAGCTGTTTAGAAACTGTTGCTGTGTAATTTGAAATTAGTAGGAGATATGCTAAGCAACTAAAATGTATGAATAAAAATTGAGTAGTTCCTGTGACTTGGGTTCTAAGAAGGCATTCTACAGTCAGTCCATTTTATCCCCCTGTTGTTTTTGTTACATAAATGAAATTTATATCTGCAACAACAGATTTCTAGTAACCAACATCGTCTTTTGGCCCATTAATATCAACGCTCTTTGATGTCTGATTTAAATAATACCTAAGATGCTAAATTGAGAACTAATCTGTGGAAAACTCAAGAACAGATCAACTCCTCATAGGAGCATTTTAATAAAAAATTGCTACTGTTCAGCACCGCTGAACCATTAAGCTCTTTTTCAGATTGTAATAATGTAAACATTTAATGCTCTCCTGAAGGAAATTGGTCTTGCTAAGTTTAGGTGGGAGGGTTGCATCTATTTGATTCATAAATCTGGATAAAAGATGAATTGTCATTCATCCAGATGTTTTATCTTCACCATAACTTATCCATAAGATGATTGAAAACATCTGGATTATTGACTGAATTTTTAATTTTCTTTTTTACATAGAGACAGAGAAACAGAGGTACTACAATCATAGTTTAAAAAGGGAAAATTAAGGGGCTGGCCCTGTGGCCGAGTGGTTAAGTTCGCGCGCTCCGCTGCAGGCGGCCCAGTGTTTCGTTAGTTTGAATCCTGGGCGCGGACATGGCACTGCTCATCAGACCACGCTGAGGCAGCGTCCCACATGCCACAACTAGAAGAACCCACAACGAAGAATACACAGCTATGTACCGGGGGGCTTTGGGGAGAAAAAGGAAAAAATAAAATCTTTAAAAAGGGAAAATTAAGAGAATAGATAATTGTCCCATTAAGATATGATCATTTGAGTGCAAAGAAATAAACAGCCAGAACTTCATTATCCTCAGGAATACAATTGCCAGTTAAAACACTTTACTGTTATTTTTAGTACCAACAGCAGGTTTTCCAGAAATCAGACAGAAAGCACAATTTTAGAAAGAACTGTCAGTGCAGTGCATGGTGTCCTTTGAAAGAATTTTTTTTTTCTGATTTGAGATGACTATAAAGGAATTGTTTTCCTTATAAGTGAATGGCCAAGTACAAAAAAAAAAAGATTCCTTAAATTTCAGAGACTAATTACTTAAATCCAAAACATAGTAGGCCTTATTCCTCCGTGAGATTTCCTTCATTCCTTCATCCCTTCCCTCCTCTCTCTCTCTCTCTCCTTCCTTCTTTCCTATTTACTGTAAGATGTGGTACTGGTTTAGAAATGATTGTGACAAAAGAGCTTGGCATCCCCCTTTTTAACGTTATTTAATCCTACGTAGAAACATTTTATTCTTTCGCTTGCTATCAGTCAGCTAAAGACAATGACTGCAAAGTTAGAATGCTCAAGTTCCACCATGGCTTTTATAGGAGACAATTTGGTCAAGGGTTTAATCAAAAGAATTCATGATTCTTTCCACCTACTGGCAGAATGTGTCTGTGCAGTTCCCGTCAGAAGACATGGGGCTCACTTTGAAAGCATTTCAAGTGTCCTTATGGCCAGGTAGCGTTGAAGTAATTGAAACGACGTGCTGACCACCAACTTGAGCAGCACTACATGTTTTGTTGTTTGTTTGTTTATTGGTTTTGTTTCCATCACTTTAATGGAAGAGTAAAATTCATTATAGAATTTTAGAAACCCTAAGTAAGGATTTCAACGAGAAAACAGTTGTCACCTAATGAGTAGAGACATTGGTGATGATTGAAGTTATTGATCTTACTTTATCTGCCTTGAGCCATCTTTGCTGAGTTCTGATATCTTGGAATAATCACAGTGTTTCTCTCTGTTTGATTGAACTGCTGCACTTTTAATTGCAGTGGACAGTGCTGAAGCAATTGTATTCTATATATAGCCTAAATCATCCTCCTTTGAGGAGGAATCTGATAAGTCTGGATTTTATTAAAGTGGACCCAAAGGCTCCAGTCATGACAGTTCTTAAGTCAAAATCATTGATCCTAAAAGTACACACATCCTAATACCATATTATTAAAATGTGTCAAGGCTACTTGACATGATAATCTTTATTTTTGCACAGGCTGGTAGGATGTACTTCTTGAGAACAGACAACTG